CTCTGGTGAAATGCAATTGCGTGGACTAAAAATCCACATAGTATCAGGGAGCATTAGTACAAGTATGAAAAGAAATGCTCTGTATCAGCCTCCATATCAATATTGGTGTGTCTGTAGTAATTACGCATTTAGAATAGGTTTTATTATCTACAACTTTTTAAGCATTACTGATGTTGACTGATGGCTAGTGACGGACGCAAAGGATTGTTGTATTTTAGCTGATAATGGTGTTCTTCTTTTTATAGGTATGGAGAAGAAATCTGAAAAGATCTTCAAATTCCTTTCTGTGGGAAATTACCCATCAGGCTACAATAAGTCACAGCGGTACAAGTTTAAGCAGACCACTGCAAAATCTACACTACAGGTTGAGTTTAAGAAATTCCGTAGATTTCAGAGGTTTTGGAAAATAGCTTTGTAATTAATGTGTCACTGTATAACTTTCTCTTTAATGACAGACGGGGAGATCTCCTTTGGAAAAAGAAGAGTTGTTAAATCCGAGGAAGAGGCAAAGAGGATCTTGAGAGAATTCCATGCATCACCAATGGGAGGTCATTAAGACATCAACAGAACACGGTTGGCAATCAGCCTGAGATTCTTCTGGCATGGAATGACCATAGATATTGAGAAATGGATACACACCAACAAACTATTGTTTTGCTTTGCAATCTGTTTTGCATATGAAAGCTGTACACTGGTTTGCAATCTTTATGAAAGTGGTACATTGGTTAACAAACTATTTCCTACAGATCCAGGAATTAGATAAATTCCAGAAGGTTGGAAAGCCTTTGACTGTTCCACAGCAGTTACAGTGTATTAAGGTAAGCAGTAGTACAATAGTATTACATTACAGTACAGTATATATATATATATATATAACATGTATACCGTATATACTCGAGTATAAGCCGTCCCGAATATAAGCCGAGGTACCTAATTTTACCACAAAAAACTGGGAAAAAGTATTGACTCGAATATAAGCCGAGGGTGGGAAATGAGGCAGAGAATTAAAATGAATACATTGGTTTCATCTCATTAGGTGCCTGATGTCTGGGAGCTCCTTGGAATTCACCTAACAGGCCCTTTCCCAAAGACAGTGGATGGTTTCCAATACATTTTGACGGCCACAGATTACTGTTCAATGTGGTTGGAGGCTTTCCCAATGAAGACCAAATCCGCTGCCTAGGTGGGACATCATTTATGCTCCATGATCTATCGACATGGTTGCCCTAAACGCATACTTTCTGACCAGGGCAGAGAATTCGTCAGTCAAGTAAGTGCACCTTCTATGTACCATTGACAAAATTATTTGCTAATTTGTCAGTTTATTATTGTGTGTGTGCATATAGAAATGTAATTATTATTATTTTATTTTTTTTGCTCAATGACCGGATGTGCTGTATCCTAGGAATTGAAAGAAGAGTGACAGCGGAATACCATCCGCAGACCAACAGCATGGATGAGATGACGAACGATAACATCACAAGTGGCAAGTTCAATTCAAGTTTTGTTTCCACTAAGGCCTTTCTCAAACCTTAGTTGAACAGCTTTCACCTTAAATAATGCTCTTGCAGTCAACTGCTTTCTGTTTGCTATAAACTATAAAATCCACGTTATTTGTTGTTTGCTATAAACTATAAAAATCCACGTAGTTTTTATGTTGTTGAAATGTATTTATGTATTTTCTTAACTGTTGGTTTTATTTATTTTAGAGCGCAAGGTTCAAACTACCACCAGATGTTCACCTTTTATTATGATTTATGGGAGGGAGGCTGTTTTCCTGTCCGAATTCCCTGATTAGCTGCCGATGAGGTTTTTTTGTTGTTTTATTTTATATATTCTTCTGTCACTGCTTTGCCCTGTTGGTGTGGCTTTTTCACTCTGTTGGCCTTTCTGGCTATGTTATTTAAACTTACCACTGTTTGGCTTCATGTTCTACACAGTTCTTGCTTTACTACCCTGACAAGATTTATATTATGACAAAGAAACTGTACAGGTTGAGATACCCCCTTTTCAAAAAAACTCCAAATCACAAGTGATTTGGATTTAGGAATATGCACATATAAAGGGGAGCGCATGAGCAATAACACGCTTTTTACTGTCACACCTGATCGCACGTCACCAGAAGTGACAACTTTGGCTGATACAATGGCTGGTCTGACATAAATCCAAATGTGTGACCTCTCTGAGCCAAGGCACTGATGATCCCCAGGAGTTGT